TTAGGGTTTAAGGTTCATGGGTAGTTGTAAATGGCTGTGTTGGCGTTTGGGGAATTTTATAATTTCTGCTGTTTGTGGCGTGGGGGGCAGGGGGCTGGGTCTACGTGCTGCTTGCTGTTTAGGGTCACAGTGGATTTTCAATGTAGCCAACCCTAAACCTTTAACCAAAACCCTAAAGATCCTAAAATATAGAGTCATCCTTCCTTTACAGAATAGCCACCCATACAGTGTCATGTCCTCGACGTGGCCTTTGACATCATCGTCGATATGCCGGGGCCCCAGTGTCAGATGAGATAGACGGCATGACCCATTCGCCGAGTAGGGTTATAGTTAGGTTAGGGCGGCACGCAACATTCGCCGCGTAGTGTCATAGACCCTTAGCCCTCGGCCCTATATTAAGCCACAACCCAAGAGTCACATAGTTTAATATTAGTAGTCCAATAGTAGGGGTTTAGGAGTATAGGGTTTAAGGCAGGCCTGTAGGGGGTTTTGTGACACTCACACTCGGGGTTTTTAAGGCTTAAGGCATAACCCCAACCCCCGCAAGCCACACAATAGAAGCACCCCTGAACCTAAAACCCTAGCACACTCTAAACCCTCAACCCCAAAAGCCTTATTACTAATATATGGCACTAGCTAACACTGTTATTATTTTCCGCAACCGCTAAAGTAAGACATGCTAGCAAATAAGGATTGATATAATAATAATTAAGTAGTTACTGAATAAGACAAGGTAACGAAATAAGACTAATCATACAGAATGTGTAGTGTCAGTTTGCGGCATGAACCATTCGCCGTGTAGTTTAAGTGTTAGTGTAAGTTTGCGGCACGAACCATTCGCCGTATAGTGTCACTTTAGTGTAGTCTGCATTATTTACCAGAATCAGCAATACAATACCTGACTGATAAATACGTTTAATACATACTTAAACAGACAGTAGCTATTACAGATCACAATGAGCTGGTATTAATCCCCTGAATATAATAATAATAACAATGTATGTGTTAGTGTCAGTTTGCGGCATGAGCCATTCGCCGTGTAGTTAGTGTCACTAGTGTAGCTTGCGGCACGAACCATTCGCCGTGTAGTGTCACTACTAGTCAGTGGTTTCCTATGAGTATATGAGTATTAAATTAAATTGTATAATAAATAATAAACTACGCACTTACACTTAGTCCGTTACTTTACCATTACTTGCTACACTAAGCTTTGAGGGTCAACATCAGCTGCATTAGGACAGTGTCAGTCCTTTAGCGCATTACTCTTAAGGGTTGAGGCTATTGGGTTTCCAACTATTTGGCTTCTATTGTAGTTGTTGTGTGCTAGTGTCATGCCCAGGCCTGGACCTCACGGCAGAGTCAGCGTCAACATCACTGCGTATCTCGTCAGCATTTGGCTGTGCTTCATTAAGTTATGAATCTGATGATAATACTGACACTATGAATGATAGTGTCATAATTATCCTCGGATTCAGATTAGGTGCGGGATGCAAGCTCCAGTTGTCAAAGCAGTCTTGTCATCAGCTTTGCACATTGTCATGCCGCTGACGCTGAAGATCGAAGTAGGTCCTGAGTAGCAGTCCCATGTAGCGTCAAGCCATGATGTGGGGGTGGGGCGGCCCCGGCGGCGACAAGGGTCAGAGGACTCATGCGGCAAAGTATGGAGTGCTGATTCATTATGATTGTCATTGTATGTGGTGAGAGTATTTTACTGATCAGGACCCCCAGCAACAACTCCGCACTGCGAGGGTCAATCCACAAGGCTGCCCAGACGATGTTGGACAGGCTGCAACAAGAGTTAGATCGTCAGAAGGACCGCGTGTGATTCAAGGGTTTGGGCCTGCAGGGTTGGGACTTGCAGATTGCTGTCTGTCAGGACAAGCACGACAGAGAGTCAAGCGACTGGGCAGCCGAGAAGGACAAGATGAAAAAGGACTTTGAGAAGCAGCTGAAGGACTCCTTCAGAGTCTCGCTTCTCGTAGCCGCCGTTTTGGACATTAAGTCATGCCTGTCTTTTAAATTTTAACAGCCTCAGGAGGTGGAGAGTCAGAGAACCGCCGACAGGGGAGAGCACGCCAAGCAAATGGCACTTTTGTCCAACGAGTGTCAGAAGAAGATGGATGAGCTCTCGGCGCACAACACAAGGATCCTGGACAAGGTCGTCAAAGAGCGTCAGTTCGCGGAGGACAAGAGTGAGAACCACCTCAAGCTTTACGAAGTTCCTTGGCCAGATTCGTGCCCCCCAGTCAGTCACTGAAGCTGCTTTCAGAGTGAGAGTCAGAACTGCTGGTTTCTTGTTGCAGGCAACCAGGGCAGAGTTAACGAAGGAGAAGGAGCACCGCGAGTATGAGCGTCAGAAGCGCCACCGCCTGCAGAAAGAGTTGGAGGATCTTAAAGCGGCAAAGATGCCAAAAACCAATGCCAAGTAAGTGTCAGACTCACGGTGTGATTGTCACTGTGAGAATAAGGCTTAAGCTAATCCAATGGTCACTCAACTTACTTGGGCTTGGCATCAAAGCTGCTTCAAGCTCCGGTTCTCTTCCAACTTTCAATGAAAAGTGAGGTCAGGGTTATAGTGCCTCACTTCGATCCAGACTATCGCACTAAATTCACAGTCACCATGACAGCTCGCAAGAACCAAGATTTGGGGCACAAATCCTTTTCTGGCCTGCACCATTTTGCAAAGACAGCGCTAGAGTCAGTGTCAATCGTCTAGCGCAGACAGAAAAAGTGTGCGGAAGGCTTGCAAAGCAAGCTGTGCCACGGTGTGCTCTGCTCTTGTACTCCTTGCTCCCTGTCCTGATCCAAGGCATGGGTGCTTCGGTTCGAGCTGCAGCAGGGAGCTCAGAGTCAGCTTGCAGTTTCAGTGACAGGTTGGAGTTCAGTGTCAGATTCTTTGCATTCAATTTCAGTCTGCCACTGAGTAGAGTGAAGAAAGGTTTCGTGTTGTAGCGCTCATAGCAGTGTCAGTTCAAAGTGTTACTTTAATGCTGCCACCGTTATTATTACGCATGGATGAAACTTGAATGGCAATGATATTTATGACTCAGTGATTATTCTAAACTTGCGCGACAATTAGAGTCAGAATATGCACCAGCGAACGTTGGATCCGATTTCCAGCGTCATGCCCAGGCCCTCGGAATGGAGACCCTGACAATGGTCGGCAAGAAGGCGCTTGCCTGTGCTGGTCAGAGTCAGACTGTCACGCTGTTGCACTGCTTGCTTTGCGATTGTTGCTGCAGTTGGTCCAAGCCAAGACTGTCTGTGGCACGGTCACGCGTTGCCATGTTTTAACATACTAGGCTAGGAGCACTGGCAGCATCACTGGGTCACCCCAGGCAGAGTCACGGCGGGGTCAATTCAGCACACAGTGCGCTCGACTTCGGTCAGATAATCAGGAATCAGAGCTAGTGTCAGTTGTCCTCGGCGCTGCATGGCCAACCACAGCGTTGCCGTCTTCAAACTGCCTCTCAATCAGGCCGCTGTGGCCCGAGAGTCATTGGACCGTGGAGCTCAACAGGCCCCCAAGCTGATCGAATGTGTTCCATTGTGTGTACACTGACTGAGCTTAGTCGTCTTTGTAGCTTGAATCAGGTGGCCTTTTTGCTGCACTACCTTGAGCCCAACGCAAGCAGCGATTTGCTGCGACACGTCAGGGACAGAGACAAAGGCAACGTGTCCGGTTGGGCCATAGAGTCAGCAAAGAAGGTGGTGCGTGAGCCACTGGGCTGGAAGTGCCAGGGTCTCATCAGTCAGTCAGTGTCTGTCAGAGTCAGTGTCAGCTTAGGCTCAATGAGTCCAGCGGGATGGAGGCAGTATGATGCTTCCTACGGTGAGCCTTGTCCCAGTCCAGAGCGTGTCGTGAAGTAAGTGTGTTGCCATGGCATTTGTTTGTTGTCTGGCTTTTCC